CCGACGCGTCTCGTCGTACGGCATCAAATCACGTCAGGCGCGAGGCCCCAGGCAGCAGAACTGGGCGAAGGACACTGCAAGGTAGAGCATGGCTTCGTGTATTTGATAATGTTTTTTGTCTAGGGTCAGACTTGAGGAAAGACAAAACCCTTGCGCCTGCACGAGATTCTTTGCTCCTCTACCCGTACTATGGTGCCAATATCAGGCTGCTATCCTTGCCATTGTACCTCATCAAGTTGTGCGAACATATCTCGAAGTAATTGGGCAGCAGTCAGATTATGTGCGACGTAGAAGCTATACTAGATTCATCGTCGGCTTCCCATGAAGACAATTCCACCAGTTCAGTAGTCCACCATCATTCGTCGACAACTACAGCATCACGCGCAGCCATTTGAGCACATGCCACGGAGGCAACGGGTCCTCGGTTTGGAAGCTATGCGGCTGGTGCATACCCCAATAATCTACCCATTGCTTAAGTGTCCAACCGTGATGTAGCGCAAGTAGAGATTCCACGTTGTCTGACTAGCCAATGTCGAAGTTGCAGCTAATTAGCCCACCGTTAGTTAACATATCGCGGATCGCAGCTAAAAGCCCTTCGTACTAATATCCAACGCGAGTTCGTCGCTTGTACTAGGAAGAGGTAGGTAAAAGACTACGAGCGTATGCAGCATTAAGAGCTAATTGCTAGGCGATGTCTCGCTGCACAATCTTAAAAACAGTAGAGGTGTGTTCAGGCGTTAGACTACCATCTAACAGGACGCTAAACGACTTACAGGGCATCCCGAGCAGCAACAATACCTAAGCTTCAGCGATCTATAACCCTACTGCCTTAGTGATTGTTGATAAGAATAGACAGTCGTCTTCTATACTATTAATGCCGTGACGAGACTCGCTGCGTAATATGTAGCGGGCCCGTGAGTCAGGCCGCGCTTGAAATACGGTGCTCCAAATGTCCACAATACGCTGAACGCGGAGGCGCTAGTTAAATTGACATAAAGAGATAAAGCCTCTTCCGTAAGACGCCGCGTTCGCGATCGAGTCGCAGTCTTCGTGAAGTACAATATTCCGCACTTCGTTACAGCACGAAGACGGTATTGCATGGAGAAAGCGCAGGGCTGCAGACGCCGCCGAGTAGCGATACTCTAAGGCAGGGGGATACATCGGCGTCCCGGGTTCGACCTGCACGATGCTTGCGAGTCTGCTGACTTCGACAGGAGTTGGTACGAGCCAATGTTCTGGAGAGGCCTCTTTCAGAGCTGACACGTTGCAAGGTACCCTATCGGTCTAGAAACGAGGCATAGACTCCGCTTCTGTGTGACATGCGGGGTGTTCTGACAGCAGATTGAATACATAGTTGATGAAATCTTCCCACACGGATGGTGCTTCTCCGCAATCGAAACCGTTCTTGCAAAACGCAGGGATATCCCGGTGAGGAGTCCAATCGTCAAAAACGTGAGCGAACTGCGGGTATGCGTTAGTTGCCCTTTGTACCATGTCGTTGGAGAGAAGCCGAGGTATGAGGTGTCGTAGCAGCGCGTTCTTGAAGTGTCTTATAGTATACATTGTTGCGTGTAATAGACCAGCTTGCTGTCGTGTAGACTCTGAGAAGTGAGTATAGAAGGTGATGGTATTCTGCCCGAGCGCAAGCCCTCGCATTTCTGCTGCAATCTGGCGGCATGCAAGAGCGAGGCAGGTAGAGATGGGAGAACCGTCGGCCTGTAGAAGTCGGTTCGTCTGCAGAAACGGAGGTCAGCATATGTCTGACGTGATGTGTATCGTCGTTTCCGTACCTCGAAGTTGTGGATATAGCCACCATCGACCTGGACATAATGCTCGTAAATGAGGTCTCTCAGCTCGCGTGGAAGACGCAGTATTGCCGGTAGTGTGGATGCGTGATCGTTCATACGTTCGAGATGAGAGCCGGCGAGCCCAGGCGTGTCGGAGTGGTTGATGGATTGAAATGGCTTCATAGTGAAGGTTCTGCGGCGGTCGGTAGCAGATGAACGAGGGACAGACCGGTGTTCTTGTAGCTGAAATTGAGGCCACGTGGAATTGAAGAAGAGCTCATCTGGTCAAGCTACGGTGGTCAACCAGAGACCGACATGGCATGTAACCGTGGCCTCCCAATTTCGTCCAGCTGCGACAATTGGAAGGCCTCGGTAGGGCCACGATGCGCCATAGTTGTTGCGTGTACCAGGTATAGCTCGCTCGTTAGGCAGCAGAAATAGGCGCAGGGTTGTAGAAGGCGGGTGGTATCGAACACGGGTGTGGGCGGGGAAGTACGCGTCCGGTGCGTGGTTGTGGTAGATGGAAACAGACGCGATGCGGTTCGTTGAGACGCGTTGATGACGTCAGCGCCGACACACTACAGCGTCTTAGGCAGCCACATCCAACGCGCCGACCACAAGTTCGACAACGGCATACTCCGACAAATCAGATATGGCCTACATTCAATGAGAACACGTCGAGACAGACTTTTGAAGAGACCAGATGGATGCACCACCGCGCTTTTATCGCAAGCACACGGTCACACGGAGGACAACGCCAGGATACACGCCGAACTAAGACCACACCCCAGTTTTCATCAAAGACGCACCACGTTCTTCGGTTTAATGGCGCAAATTCGGTTTCGTCTTTGCTGTTTCTACTCGTAAGACACCTGTTACCGCGGTATACCAGAGTAATCTACAGCTTGCAGTCAACACCTCAATACGCCCTTTCGGAGTACCTGACTCACGTCTTTGGATGCGGCTTTGACAGGCTCTATTAGAGATGAGTCACGCTTGCCCGCTATGTGTATATCTTCATCACGGCAACAACGTTCGACACATCTCATCATTTCTTTCACCAAGACATGAATGGTGAGAATCTGCTACCTCTCGTCGACAGATTGTTTCGTGAATCTCCACCATGCTGCCTTCGAGCCCCCCAGCAAGCACGCAGCTACAATCCCGACTCTTTCGTCTCCCTAGGGAACTTCGAGATATCATCTACCACCATTACCTATATAACGAAGACGGCCTTATTTACAGTTTCGAAACCAACAAACTCCCTGTCGATTTGTCATTGACGTACACTTGTCGTGCGTCCGCACTCGAGCTTCGAGGCCTTGCCCTGCGGCTTAACAAGGTCGTGTTCTGCACAACCTGCCCGCATGCTATTCCAACGCATGCGTTTTTATTCCACCGAGCGCTCTCCGAGTTACACGCCCTCAAATTCAACCTACTCAATCTCCAAGCTCCGCGTCTGTTAACTGAAGCGATCCAAAAAGAAGTCTCCGTCAAATATCCACAGCTCTCACGGGTCCTGCCGACACTAGGAACGCCAGGTGAACGCCCGAACACCTTGGGAGAGCCACCATCGACGTATCGCGATTTTGTTCATTTCACACTGAATCTCTTGTATGACCGCAAACACCACCCCAAATTGGGCGGCAAACGTTCCGAACGCAAGCGCCGAAGTCTACGAAAAGTGAATCCCGAACCCTGGTCAACGCCCAACGAGAGGGGCAGACTCCCACGTGGTGCGGAGGGAAAGTTTGGTTATTGCGCCCAGGGCAGACTCGGTCACGACCTTGCGGCTACATTTGACCGCGAACTCCAGCAACTAGTCGACATAACCAGAACCCATGATCGTGTCGGGACTATGAAACACTCCTTGTCAGCAGCAGCATGCGCAATACGTTTCCTTCGGTCTCTCCGCGTCGAGACACGTGAGCACGTGCGACAGGTTGAACTCATCGAGGACCGAGAGTCTATTTCGTTCCCGGAATGCCATGGCAGGGGACTGATATCGTTCTGTCGTGAGCACCCGAAGTTGCGCGTATATAGGCGCGTCAGTCTCTGGAAGAACGCGTTCCCCGTAACCAGTGTGATACGGTACCAGTTGAACGGGCGATACTCAGAAGACGATCGACTTAGCTCCAGCTACGTCCCAAAAGCAGTTGCGAAGTGGATGGTAGAAGCATCTATATTACCTTCCCTGGGTATGCCCGAGGGCTCTTTCAAGCTAACTTTTGAATGCGACTCCGCCCCCGCAGAGACTACACAGGTCTTCAACGTCCTCCAGCGAGATGCTGCATGGCAGACTGCCTTGGATCTAAGTTATGCACGGCATATTCTACCGCAGCCAACCTGGCACCAGCGCAGACTCCGCAAGGCATACGTATACGAGACCTTCCCAGAGCTTCTAGAGCAAGTCACCAACTGTGACCACCCTTTCATTCATTGCGACTTCCACCCAGGCACGGTGTGCAATCCGGAGGAAATCATCCGCGAGCGGAGGGGTGACTCACTGGAAGAATGGCGTGCAGCCTGGCTTGATCATACGCCTCGAGAGTTCCAAACACCCGCCAACATGCCTCCTTGGCACGTACTCCGCGCTGGCTTTATAGTTTGGGACGTTTGGGGAGGAGCGCGAGTTCACGGTTAAGCCTGTGACTGCAATCTAGCCTGCGATCATTCAGTATAGCTTACACTATGATCATCACTTCGGACCTGAGTTTCAACCCCCGCTGCCACATCACCATGTCCTCCTCCATCCCCCGTCACCAGCTTCGGCCCCTAAACGCCTGCGTCACCCCTACTCCCAATACTCAGCCACGTCAACCAAGCAAAAAGCTAAATTAAACAGGCCTGCAGCCTACACCAACATAGAAACCTACAAGATAGGTAACATAGAATCAATCTAGGCTCTAGACCTATTCAGTCTTCTTCTTGTACGAGGTGCAGCCTACTTCCTCCTCCCATGTTTCGCAATCAAACTCCTGCTCTCCCCACACAGCCAGATATGCGGCCCAGCCTCGCCATCCTTAAGCCCATGCTCATTGATAATATGCTCAATCTGTTTTGCGCGCCCGCGGTTCGCGCTCAGGGTGGTGAGGCACGCGGCCCAGCCGTAGAGGAAGATGGACTTGTTGAGGTGCCCGAGTTCGGCGGCGACGGCGGTGGCGGCGTGGGGTAGGTTGTCGGTGATGGTGGAGACGTTGGGGGATTTGACGGTTATGGGGAGGGTGAAGGAGGGGGGTGGGGGGTAGTCTGAGAGTGCGGCCTGGTGGGTGTTAGTGCTGGGTTGTTTGGTGGTGATGGGAGAGGACGTACCCATTCTTCGACTAGTTGTTGCTGTGACCACGACTCGCAGTCTCCTTGTCGGAGTAGCAGGTCCGCTCTTGTCTTCTCCGTGTCAGTTGCTAGAGTCTGCACTATCAGGTTCATCTGCTCGGCTGCTTCGCGCGTGCACACCATGGGATGCGCGCCGATGGCAGGGTATAGATGTGTCGGTAGAAGATGCTCTTGAGCCTCCTCTTCGATCTGGGCGCGCACTTCGCCTGGATACCAGTCAAGTACTGGGCATGGTTTGTGGGAGATATCGGATATGAGGGCTAGTAGGATAGTGCAGTCGATGTTTAATGTATCGCTAAGGGCCCGGGACCTATCGATAAGAAGGCGCGGTAGAACAGCGTCTATAGAGAGAGCTGGCGGTATGTCGTCTCCGCATTGTACTATCGCACCCGTAGCGCGTATCTTGTTGATAATCATGTCGATAGCTGGTGTTTTCCCAGCAGAGATCCGTGTCAGGACGAAGCGTACCTTGGGCGGTCGACCGCGAATAGGATTTGCACGCGCAGCTCTTGCAAGACCTCGCGCGTTGCGCACCACGTCGATTTGGTCTTCATCGTCATCGTCATCTTCCGGTGGAGGCGGCATATCTTCATCGTCTTCAGAGTCCGAGTCGTTTACCCAACCCAACTTCGCAAGATCGAATAGAATACGCTTCTCGGAGACGGTTGATACGCGTATCCACTCTGCGCCCTCTTCTGCAACGATATCAACGAGGGCAGAGGTCTTGTTCTTTGCTTGGCTTCCTTTTGCCAGGCTGACTCCTTTTGCTGTGCTCTTTCCTGCTGGTGCTTTGTGTCGGTCCCAGAAGAAGTATTTGCGGAAGCTTTGGATTCCCATAGAGCGCTTTGCTGCGCCCCATAGTGCCTCATAGTAGAGAAGATTCGAAGACACGATGTAGTGTCGGGCCTTCTCCTCATCCATTGACGACCCCGCGATCTTCTGCAGGAAGGCTAGCTCGTTGCGCATGTCATTGCGAAGATTTCGATATCTGGTACAGTTAGCTATAGACTGAGGCTGCCGATCTAATCGCGAAGCAGCTCACCCCTTCTCAGACGGACCTCCCCTGGAGGTATACGCTATGTTGTGTACTGTCAATGTGAAAGCAAACCCACCGCGAACACCTCCAGGGTCATATGAGGTACACTCTGGGAAGGTAGAGAACCTTCGTGTAGATCACCATATCATCAATCGCATAGACGTACTCAACTGGATTGTAAACCTTCCCGACCTTTTGCTTCTCAAGGACAGCGGCGATATACTTCTCTACTTCGTCGTTGAGATGGTTGCCACGCGCCACTAGCTCTTGGATAGTAGCTTCGAGCTCGGCTCTTGGGGTTGGCATTTTGCCATCAGCTGGCCCTTCACCAAGATCGATCTGGTTGAAGTCTTGCGTGATAGATTCTGCCATAATCACCTCGGACTGAGAAATTCCTGGATAGGCCTGCAGAATACACTATGATGGAACGACCAGATCGGAAGATCCGGCGATAACGTAGGCTCCAGATCGTCAGTTTGTTCCTTGGATGAGGTGTGGTGGTGCCACTCTTGTGGTAAGTCTGGTAAGTTTGATAGTGCACGCAGGGCCGGTGAAGTACTGCACTCGCTTAGAACTTAGCGAATCCCTCCTCTTCCTATCCAACACCCGGCGCTCGAAGACTTTTCGTGGTGAGTAGTAGTCTGGGGTTGTGGGGTCGATGGAATAGATTTCGATTTCTGAAGGTGAAGTACTGGAGTTCTGACTCAAGCACTAGTCAAACCGTGGAAGGTTCTCGGGTAGTGGCGCAAGCAGCAAACTGCTGTTGCCTGATAGGTCGGTTCTGGTGTCAGCCCTTTTCTGCATCCTGGGTTCCTGTCGCGTGGTACCTGGGTAGAGTCGCGATTCTAGTCTGGCCCGACGATTCCCCGGCCGACCCCGCCAAAAGTTGCCCGCATACCGAACCCACGCACCGACCATCCACCATCCCATCTCTCACCCTCTCCCCCAGACACCACCAACCCACCATGCCGTACTTCGCGACAAGCCAGGAGTGGTATGAGCAATCGTCGCTCCTGCTAAAAGCGCGACCGACATCCGTATGCCAAGCTCCACTGCACACGCACGCACGCGACCCGCCTTCTAATCTCGCTACTAGACACGCATCACGTCCAAATACTCGGTCCTCAAGCCCACCGCCTCCAAGATAAAGAAGCGCCAGAAGTACGAGGAGAAGCGAGCATCGAAGCCCACAGATACCGCGCGCGCATCATCACCGCCGCCGCAATCGCAGAATCCCGAGGAAGTCACCGTGTTCTTCACGCTGAAGACGTACGACCCGGAGTCAGGGACATGCCTACAATATGAGACCAACAAGGGCGCCGAAGTCGGAAGATTGATTGGAAACCTGGGCAGGCTGGGAAGACACATGGCAGCGCTGCCGGAGACAACGGACGATCTGAGCATGCCAGCTGGCGGCGAGGCCGCATCCACACCACAGGTTGACGAAGGCGGAGACGTGAAGATGGGCGGCGTCCCGGCGGCTAGTGCGGGAACAGGAGGCAAGAAGAAGAAGAAGGGCAAGAAATGAGTAGGATTACATCACAACCATACAATAACGCACGCGCCGAGCAGGGCGCCCAAGGCAAACGAAGACATCGCGACGCACGTACACGATACCACGAGGCTCAGGGATATCGATTGCGGTTCAATGATTGATAAAGGGCCAAGGCATATATGGCGCACAGCCTGCGAAATGAAGATACCCAATTCCACTCCCAGCCTGCCCGTCCGTGAACTTCTCACAGCTGCCGTCCATACTAAGACTTCCTAATAGCCTTACCAGCAGCCTCAGCGTACGAGACACCCTTCATGCGCTCCCTAAGCTTCTCCTTACGCTTCTCAGCCTTGCGCTCCTCTTTCTCCTTCTCCATCCGCTCCTTGCGCTCCGTTTCCTGCTTTTGCTTCTCAGCCGCCGTCTTGCCGACGATTTCCCACTCGGCCTTGTCCTGCTCGTGCAGCGCTTCGTCTTTGTCTACGACGTCCCAGTTGTCCTCGCTGTTGGCGCTTGACTCGGATGCATGGAGACCGGCGTTGTTGGTTTGGTTGAGGAAGTCCTTGAGGTCTGACGGCGGGCCTTGCACCGCGGTAGTGGGGATGCTGGAGGACATCGTGGTGACTTGGTGACTAGTCTGCTTCGTGGAGGGTATGATGATCTGAATGAGTGAGCGAAGGGTTGAGGGAAAGTGTAAGATCTGAATGTGGTGAGCGTTCAATAAAAGTGGTTTACTTGGGTATTGGAAATGGTTATGGTGCTTTACTGACGGATTACAGAAAGTATATGTACTGGCCCGCCGGTGGCAGTCCCTTCAATTCGCAACTCTCATTCACAGCTAAGTTGCTGTAGTGAATGTCGAACCACCACCGCGCAACCATGCGTCTGTCACATTCCGACGTTCAAAGGCGGCGAAATATATTCTCGGAACCAAACCATGGTCCTCGCACGGTGGGCGCGCGCGCAAATGGGCTCTTGATTATGGGAAGGATGCAGCTTCTAGAATTGGCGGCATCGCAACGATTCACGAATGCGATAAGTCGTTTCAAGATTGGCTGCGAGACTGCAGGCCGGGCGCATCCATGCTGCCAGATGAATGTTGCTCATGTTGATGGTGGTGTCGCATGTCGCAACTCCGAAGGGCACAGCTCATGAAAGCGCACCCGAGAGTGGGTGGTCAATCAAGCAATGCCGCAATGCTGAATGGCTGTTCCTTCTTGCTCTCAAGAATCTCACATCTCGGCTGATGTTGTCTGTTTGGCGGGTACACGGGCTGTTGCTTCCGCTTTAGGTTAAGTCCGTGCTGCGGCGCATCATCAACATTGATTAACAAGGGGTAGCCGCGATCTCTCAACTTCCACGTCATATTCACTGACAGTTTCCAGATCATGAAATTCATTCAATTTTCGCGTTTTCCACGTCTTTACCAGCTCCTCTGCCCAGAGCTCAACCAACGCCAACCGCTCACCCAATACCAGTGCAAACTTCAAGAATTATTTGAACCGAAAGACGAGACCTGGTTTTACAACACCTTCGCAAAAACCCGATCAGGTGCGGACCGGATTCAGAACTACCACCCTCCGGCTGGAGACCTCTTCGAACGCCTTCCAAACGAAATCATTGACGAAATATTCGATTATGTGCTGCTTCACAAGGATGACAGCCTCAACCCTGACAAACGCAAGGATGAGGAACTTCACGACAAGGCTGAACATGACGCCCTGGACGATCTAGTTTTCTTGGGCCTTTCCTCTGCACGCCTATGGCCACTGCTCTTGGAGCGCATCCATCGGAACTACCAGACCAACTGGTCAGGCAAGAAGGTTGGCTTCCACGACTACAACCTTGCCTTCACTGCTGAGCAAGGGCATAACTATGGTATCGCGTATGAAGTGATTGGTCAAAGTGGGCGCCCATGTCCACGGTGGAAGAGTTTGATTACAGGTTGGACATGGGAACACTTCAGCTGCCTGCCAGATATGGCATGGCGTGTTGCTCTCATTCCTTCCTACAGATCTCGATACTCAAACACGAGCGACCTAAAGTCGATGAAGTACGAGATGGAGATTCCACCAGATGATCGGGAGAAGATCGAGCGAGATCTCCGGCGGACGAATCTGCGTTCCACAGAGACAGAGTGGGTACTACGCAACCTAACGACCAGGCAATACGTACGTTCGGATCGATTGCAAGAGCCGGCGTCCGCAGAGCCAGAGTGGCCTCCCCTGCCCAAGTCTCAGGAAAAGCTGATGACCAGAATGCGGCGACAGCGCAAGGCCCTGATACAACGAATGAGGAATGAGGCAACGGAAGACTACGTCTCACCTTGGCCCTTTGACCTGGCGAATCTGCCACTTACTCTGGCCAACATCTTTCTGGTTCTGACCTGTGACAGTGCAGAAGTATTACCATCATACATTCCTAAAGATGACCCCGAAAAATATCTGCACTTCCACGATGCCCCCTGGTCCGGTTGCGCATTCGAACTTATGCCGCTGGACGATCACTTGGATGCTCAAGAACGAGGCGTGGACCCAACAGCTCCGACAGATGAGACGTGGATGGATGTCAGTAGAGAAGTGGTCGCCGATATGGCGAACTTGCGCTTCTGCATCCAGAAAAATATCGCCATCTCTGAAGAAGAGATCAAAAGGAATCTCAATACTGCAGAGAGACGAGGTGAACAACCAGCATGGCATGCGTTTTGGGTCAACTTCTACGCCAGCGTTGGAGAGACAAGACGGCAGCATCGGCAGTGGGTGAAGACATGTCCACCTAGACCCTGGATAGATGAGAGCATGTATGCGGAAGTGTAGGTAGTCGAAGTGACCGGAACAATCCCACCTTCACTTTCACCTCGCTTCAATACAACACAATAGGAAAGAGATGCTTCTACTTAACCCCATCGTAGTCTGCAAAGCTATTGTACACCTCTATTCTCGCATTCCTATTGTCACTCCTGTCATCCTCCAGAGTATCAAAACCTCGCCATCCCCTCTTCCAAACCACACCCAGACACCTACAAAACCTCCCACACCCTCATATCTTCCACCCTAAAGACATTGACATCCTCCCCGCACCCCCAAAACCTACCTCTCCACCACCCAAAAGTAGCTGGACTACTTCCCGGCCTCACAATGAGCCCCCACTCCCGCCTCTGTCGCCGCCTAACCTGGCACCTCTGCCGCGCGCGCCGCCAGCTCGAGCGCCGACTCAACGGCCCACCAGCCATGCGAACGCGAAGCCGAACTGCCACTACTTCTTCACCCGCACAAGTCACACCCGCAGCACCAACTACCCTCGGCGGCGAAACCGGCACCCTCACCAAAAAGCCCCCCACCAAGAGGCAACTCCTCGCAAGCTCAAAGCGGCTCGGCAGAAAGCGCCTAGCGCTAAAGCGGGTGTTGGAGAAGAAGAAGAAAGACATGGATGAGAAGGGGAAGAGGACGTTTGGCATGGGGCAAAGGATTAGGCTATTGAGTGTGCTTGGGCCGAAGGGGGAGTTGGAAGAGTTGGAAGGGAGGAGGTTGGTGCCTGCGCAGCGGAGGGTTGCGACTGTGGAGGAGATGAGGGTGAAGAGGGAGGGGAAGAGGGTGGGGAGGAGTCCGTTGGGGAAGGGGTGGTGAGGGGGGTGGGTGGAGGGGAGGATGTTGGGGGGATGTTTTCTTCAGGGGATGGTTTGGGGGGATGGTTGGAGCGCTGGTCGCGAAGTGTATTCTCCAAACGTATATTTGGATCGACGGTTAGAGCGCTGGTCGCTCCATGTATCCCTCAAACCTACACATACCCCGGCGAACGAAGCGCAGGTCACTTCACATCGTCTCCCGGCTCCCTACCATCTACAAGTTCAACAACACGCTCGCCAACCCCATTCCAGCACCCCACGCCGCACCAACACCCAGACCCCGCTTCTGCGCCTTACCCTGATACTCCGGCATACCCGCCCCAGCACCAAAGTCATACTCGAAGCTTCCATTGAGCGCAACAGGGCCCTGAACACTTCTTCCGGTACCAAGAATAGTAATGTTCTTAACAACACAATCCGTCGCGTATCCAAAGTCACCGTCCATGCTGAACTTGCCGTTGTCGTAGGAGAACGTAATCATGGACGTAGACGGCTGCTCGATGCTATCGCCGTCGTCGAGGTACAAAGATCCGCTAGCCTGGTTCGTAGCATTCGGCGCGATCCACAAGACAAAGTCCTGCTTCCGCAGCTCGGTCGTCGTGTTTGCGGATTCAGCGCGCAGAGGGATAATGGAGCCGCCGCGGACGTGGAGGGGGATGGAGTCAAACCCGATGTCGGTGAGGTCGATCATGCTTCCGTTTCCTTGGATGCGCTCGCCGGTCCAGTAGTCGTAGAAGACTTCGTTGGGGAGGTAGATGGATACACTGGTGGAGTTTTCCTCCAGCACGGGCGACACGAGGATGGCGTCGCCGTAGAAGAATTGGTATTCGAGGGCGAAGGTGTTGGGGTCGGTGGGGTAGTGGAACCACAGGGGGTTTAAACTGGGTTCTCCGGTCGTGGTCTGGCGGTGGAAGGCTGTGTAGAAGTAGTCGAGTAGACGGTAGCGGACGGCGATGGCGTTCTTGGCTGCGGCGGTGGTCAAGGGCCAGCGGTAGTACTCTTGGTCGATTGATGTGTCGCCAGCGTGATTCCTCATGAAGGGGTAGAAGGCACCGAGGGTTGCCCAGCGTGCGCACAGTGTCTCGGTCGTGTTGCCGGCGAAACCGCAGATGTCAGGTCCGACCATGGGGATCTGGAAGATGGAGTTGAAGTTCAGGATGCCGGCAATGGAGAAGCGGTATTGCGTCCATTCGGAGACGTTGTCACCGAGCCACTTTCCGAGGTAGGTACCTAGACCGACGAACTAGTCTTTCGTTAGCTGCGGTGTGATATGATGACATGTGAAGACTTACCGTAGAGCGGGTGATGATTAAAGGACGACGTTCAGGACGGCGCATGAGCATACTCTTGTGCGAAGCAATCGACATCATCGAGCCCCAGAAGTTGTGGGTATCATAATGGTACGTTCCGTCATAGTTCTGGATGTCGGTGTCGAGGGTCTTGTTGCTGATTGAACCAGCAGCGTTAGCGATCTGGTACTCCGGGTTGATCAAGTCACGACCAGGAAGACCGGGGTGCGCGGCAAGGTCTTCGGTGTTGTTGGAGGCTTGACGCTTGGAGTTGGAGCGCTTGCTGAGAGGCGAGCTTGAGCGAGTCTTCAGCGTGGAGTTGGACTGAGGCTGGAATCCTGCTGGGAAGCCAGGAATCTGACGGCCGTCGGCAGAGGTGCGGACTGGCGGTGGCTCAGGCGGGTTCTTGGACTCTTCAGAGTAGGCCACAGGGTCCTCGCAAGGGTACGGGCAGAAGTTGGCAGGCTCGTTCATGTCGTTCCATAGACCATCAATGTCAACACCGGTCGCAGGGTCGAAGAACTCGGCAAACTTCTGGTCCCAGTACTGCTGGGTGTTGGGGTGGAACCAGTCGGGGAAGACAGTTGGGCCGGGCCAGACAGCGCCTTCAAAGAAAGAGCCGTTCTCGCGCTTCTGGAAGACATCGAGCTCAGCACCGTCGTTGTAGCCATCGTAGTCGCCACTCCAGACGGCGGAGTTGACCATCATGATGTAGTGCTGCTGATGAGCATGGAGGTAGTCAACCACCTCGCGGACGAGTTCAAGAGGGTAACGTTCTGGGTCCAGAGTGAACAGGCGACGGAGCTCCATGTAGTCGATGTCGGTCCACATGGTCTGGGCGTGTTAGCGAGGATTTATAGATAATATGTCGGGATATAGAACTCACCTCGAGGGGAATGTCGGCAGCGGAGTAGTTGGCAACTACCTCAGCAACTTGCCAGACATCACGGTAACCGTACTTGCATTGGTGAGAACCGAAACCCCAGTACGGCATCATAGCGGGAAGACCAGACAGCGCAGAGTACTGGACTGCGACTTCCTTCGGTCCAGGACCAGCGAGGAAGTAGAAGTCAAGAACACCGCCTAGAGTGTTGTACTCAAGGAACTGGCCCTCGGAGTCGTCGATCTTGATGTCCATACCCTGGGAGCTGGCCAAGAAGACACCGTGAGTGCCGTTCTCGCCGCGGTGATCAAAGTAGATGGGGTGAGCTCCGTAGAGGTTGGAACCTTCTGGGGTACCGTAGGCATCACGGTTCCAGAGAGTGCGGGTGTAGTTGGTGGTGTTCAGATGGAAATGGTCAGTCGATTCACCAAGACCGTATAGGTTGGGTGAAGGAGGCAGAGCAGTCCTCAGGCGAAGGTACTGTGACTCAAAGACGAGCGATGCAGCGGAGGTGTCGAAGAGAGTCTCATTGGTCTCCTTGCGCTTGATGGCGAACGAGAACGGGCTGTCGGTCCATGTGAATGACAGGGCAGAGTCCTCGGGACTGACACCCTCGTCATCGGGAGGACGAGGCCAGACAGATTCTTGGATCTGGAAGACTTGCTCTTCAGCATCGAAGATCTTCACGTGGAGGCGTTCGGCTGTAAGATTGGTTAGCACCAATAATGATTGTAATGGTTGGAGAACGCACCCGTCTGGTACTCGACTTCAAGCTTGAGGTCAGTCAAGTCGTCGCCGTAGACATTGCAAGCGGTGCCCGCAAGCGTAAGGTCCGCGGTAACCTTGGAGCCATTATCCTGAAGGTTGCTAGCAGTGTACCCAGGGCAAGCTTCAAGTGATGAGCTTTGGCGTTGAACCAGCGAACTTGCAAATGCAGATACCGCCGCCCCAAGAGCGAAAAGGCCTTTGGTGATCATGGTGCCTGAAGGTATTGAGAAAGCCAGGACCGTGTTGGATGCTGATCGTCCGAGGGAACCTTTGCCTTCTTATACTCGAGCGCGTGCAGCCGTGTGTACTAGTCCGATGCACTGCAACAACAAAGCACGCATCGTGATCTCGGTTCAGACTTACCGTTTGCATGGCTAGGATAGGCGGATATGCACCCAAGGCGCGCTCCCCCGCAGTACCGTCATCATGGAGGTCGGACTTGCATGGCTTGGCAACGATGCGAGGGCCAGAGAGGCAACATAGCGGGGTCATTGGTTCCGCAGATTCACGCTCTGGAGAGCTTGTTTACCCGGAGAGAATCCCGTTTGGGGTTCGGCTGGCATGGAGGACATACGAGGCGCATAACTCTGGGGTAAACGATCAGGTTTGTTTACGCGGGTGCGAGGCGCGACGCACGGCGGCTACGCTGATTCGATGGAAGTCGGGAGTGCGAGATGCCGGTCCGACATGTGGTGCCGGCGTGCCTTCGCACTTCCATCGCCAAGCAGACGGCTGAAGAAAGCCAAGACAAATGGTAAAGTTGGTGACATGTCGTAAGTCTAAAGTTTAGGCGTCGAGTTCTATGATATGTTCTAAATGTTTTTCCCGAAGTTGAACAGCGCTTGTGATACCGACCTTGCTGGCTAGCGGACAAGCTTGTACCGGGCGAGCATGTCGGACCGGGCGTGTGGTCTCAGCTACTGCATGGTCAAGTTTAATCGGGAAGGACCACACGAGCGGATAGAGTTATAGCATATCCCATGAAAGATACCTGGAACGCTTTATTGGGTATGTAGAGGGCGGGAACAGCAGGCCGCGTTTCTTGAGCCCTAGCTAGGTACGTCGGATTCACCCTGTAAGAGCAACTCGTTCTGGGTAAAAGGCGGCAACACGGAGCGCGCGAACGTCTTGTATGGGAGACCAGCTTCAAGGACTATATCACAAACCGTACTTGGAGATGTAGACACCACTCTAGATTATCACATACAGAAAAGCGTGGCCATGTAGACTTCCAACAAGTGTTTGGGGTGG